TTGTGTTGATTGTCTCAATTTGACATTGGAATGTATATATTGGATATTGTACATATAAGCGTATATGTTGGATATTGTGTTGATTGTTTAAATTTGACATTGGAATGTATATATTGGATATTGTACATATAAGCGTATATGTTGGATATTGTGTTGATTGTCTCAATTTGACATTGGAATGTATATATTGGATATTGTACATATAAGCGTATATGTTGGATATTGTCTCAATTTGACATTGGATTGTATATATTGGATATTGTACATATAAGCGTATATATTGGATATTGTGTTGATTGTCTCAATTTGACATTGGAATGTATATATTGGATATTGTACATATAAGCGTATATATTGGATTGTGATTGTTTCAATTTGTGGAATGTGGATATTGTACATATAGCATATTTGATATTGGAATTGTATCGAACGACGTGGAAAAATTATATTGATATTGTACATATAAGCGTATATATTGGATATTGTGTTGATTGTTTCAATTTGAAATTGGAATGTATATATTGGATATTGTACATATAAGCGTATATATTGGATATTGTGTTGATTGTCCAATTTGACATTGATTGGATTGGATATTGTACATATAAGCGTATATATTGGATATTGTGTTGATTGTCTCAATTTGACATTGGAATGTATATATTGGATATTGTACATATAAGCGTATATTTTGGATATTGTGTTTGATTGTTTCAATTTGACATTGGAATGTATATATTGGATATTGTACATATAAGTATATATTGGATATTGTGTTGATTGTCTCAATTTGACATTGGAATGTATATATTGGATATTGTACATATAAGCGTATATATTGGATATTGTGTTTGATTGTTTCAATTTGACATTGGAATGTATATATTGGATATTGTACATATAAGCGTATATGTTGGATATTGTGTTGATTGTTTCAATTTGACATTGGAATGTATATATTGGATATTGTACATATAAGCGTATATATTGGATATTGTGTTGATTGTCTCAATTTGACTTTGGAATGTATATATTGGATATTGTACATATAAGCGTATATATTGGATATTGTGTTGATTGTTTCAATTTGACATTGGAATGTATATATTGGATATTATTTTTTACATATAAGCGTATATGTTGGATATTGTGTTGATTGTCTCAATTTGACATTGGAATGTATATATTGGATATTGTACATATAAGCGTATATATTGGATATTGTGTTGATTGTCTCAATTTGACATTGGAATGTATATATTGGATATTGTACATATAAGCGTATATTTGGATATTGTGTTGATTGTCTCAATTTGACTTGGAATGTATATATTGGATATTGTGAATATGTTGATATTGTGTTGATTGTCTCAATTTGACATTGGAATGTATATATTGGATATTGTACATATAAGCGTATATATTGGATATTGTGTTGATTGTTTCAATTTGACATTGGAATGTATATATTGGATATTGTACATATAAGCGTATATATTGGATATTGTGTTGATTGTCTTTTGATTGTGTATATATTGGATATTATTGTATATAAGCGTATAATATTTGTTGATTGTCTCAATTTGACTTTGGAATGTATATATTGGATATTGTACATATAATATGTTGGATATTGTGTTGATTGTTTTCAATTTGACATTGGAATGTTTATATTGGATATTGTACATATAAGCGTATATATTGGATATTGTGTTGATTGTCTCAATTTGAAATTGGAATGTATATATTGTATATTGTACATATAAGCGTATATATTGGATATTGTGTTGATTGTGTCAATTTGAAATTGGAATGTATATATTGGATATTGTACATATAAGCGTATATGTTGGATATTGTGTTGATTGACTCAATTTGAAATTGGAATGTATATATTGGATATTGTACATATAAGCGTATATATTGGATATTGTGTTGATTGTCTCAATTTGACATTGGAATGTATATATTGGATATTGTACATATAAGCGTATATATTGGATATTGTGTTGATTGTTTAAATTTGACATTGGAATGTATATATTGGATATTGTACATATAAGCGTATATATTGAATTTGAAATTGGAATGTATATATTGGATATTGTACATATAAGCATATATTGGATATTGGATTGTCTCAATTTGACATTGGAATGTATATATTGGATATTGTACATATAAGCGTATATATTGGATATTGGATAATTTGACATTGGAATGTATATATTGGATATTGTCAATATATGATATTGTGTTGATTCTTTAAATTTGAAATTGGAATATTTTATTGGATATTGTACATATAAGCGTATATATTGGATATTGTGTTGATTGTCTCAATTTGACATTGGAATGTATATATTGGATATTGTACATATAAGCGTATATATTGGATATTGTGTTGATTGTCTCAATTTGAAATTGGAATGTATATATTGGATATTGTACATATAAGCGTATATGTTGGATATTGTGTTGATTGTTTCAATTTGACATTGGAATGTATATATTGGATATTGTACATATAAGCGTATATGTTGGATATTGTGTTGATTGTCTCAATTTGACATTGGAATGTATATATTGGATATTGTACATATAAGCGTATATATTGGATATTGTGTTGATTGTCTCAATTTGACATTGGAATGTATATTGTATTGGATATTGTATTGTATAAGCGGAATGTATATATTGGATATTGTGTTGATTGTTTCAATTTGACATTGGAATATATATTGGATATTGTACATATAAACGTATATATTGGATATTGTGTTGATTGTCTCAATTTGACATTGGAATGTATATATTGGATATTGTACATATAAGCGTATATATTGGATATTGTGTTGATTGTCTCAATTTGACATTGGAATGTATATATTGGATATTGTACATATAAGCGTATATATTGGATATTGTGTTGATTGTCTCAATTTGACATTGAATGTATATATTGGATATTGTGGAATTGGATATATGTTGATTGTCTCAATTTGATATTGGAATGTATATATTGGATATTGTACATATAAGCGTATTTGGATATTGTGTTGATTGTCTCAATTTGACATTGGAATGTATATATTGGATATTGTACATATAAGCGTATATATTGGATATTGTGTTGATTGTCTCAATTTGACATTGGAATGTATATATTGGATATTGTACATATAAGCGTATATATTGGATATTGTGTTGATTGTCTCAATTTGACATTGGAATGTATATATTGGATATTGTACATATAAGCGCATATATTGGATATTGTGTTGATTGTCTCAATTTGACATTGGAATGTATATATTGGATATTGTACATATAAGCGTATATATTGGATATTGTGTTGATTGTCTCAATTTGACATTGGAATATATATTGATATTGTACATTGTCTCAATTTGACATTGGAATGTATTTGATATTGGATATTGTACATATAAGCGTATATGTTGGATATTGTGTTGATTGTTTCAATTTGACATTGGAATGTATATATTGGATATTGTACATATATATGTTTGGATATTGTGTTGATTGTCTCAATTTGATTGGATATTGTATTGATATAAGCGTCTATTTGGATATTTGAATTTGATTGGAATGTATATATTGGATATTGTACATATAAGCGTATATGTTGGATATTGTGTTGATTGTCTCAATTTGAAATTGGAATGTATATATTGGATATTGTACATATAAGCGTATATGTTGGATATTGTGTTGATTGTCTCAATTTGAAATTGGAATGTATATATTTGATATTGTACATATAAGCGTATATGTTGGATATTGTGTTGATTGTCTCAATTTGAAATTGGAATGTATATATTGGATATTGAACATATAAGCGTATATATTGGATATTGTGTTGATTGTCTCAATTTGAAATTGGAATGTATATATTTGATATTGTACATATAAGCGTATATGTTGGATATTGTGTTGATTGTCTCAATTTGAAATTGGAATGTATATATTGGATATTGTACATATAAGCGTATATGTTGGATATTGTGTTGATTGTCTCAATTTGAAATTGGGATGTATATATTGGATATTATTACCATTGTCTTAGTTTTACATTAAAATTTGAATTAAAAGTTTCTCGAGTTTTCAATGTTAAATTTGTTTTCTCTTTATCTAAAGGGTGTTCAAATAACTTTGACCTATTTTAAATGTGAAATAAGTTTAAGCGTCTAATGATTTTTTCTTTTTCTTTCAGATTTGGCGGGCTTTTGCGTGATATTATTTTTCACAGATAATTGCCATGACTTAAATAACATGATCCAATAGAGAAATAAATAAATTTTCACCAATATCATTGATCTGTTTATTGCTGAATTTGATTTGTCTTAATGAAACACCTTTATATATAATCCGTCTTAATGAAACACCCTTTAGTAAACTTTTGTCCGTAAGATTGGGATTTTGTTTACTTTTGGTATAAGAGGCTGGGTTTTTGTCCGCTGGGTTTTCGTCAGCTGGCATTTCGTCCTCTGTGATTTGGTCTTGTTACATGCAATGAAACACTGGGTACCCTATCCGGTGTTTTATTGCAGGTAACCGGAGTAAATCACCAGGTGTTTATAAAATATAAAAATCATTTAAACAATTGATAATGCATTCTCTCTAGCTTAAGAGACATTTCACAGGCAGAATGAGATTTAACAAATGTTATGTTCATTCAGGAAGTAATCGATTATAACTTCCCATAGAAACCTCCACACTTTTTTACTATATCAGCAAATTGCCATGATTTATTGGGAAATATAATAGAACGGTTCATCGATCATTCTCCATGATTTTGAATTCAGTACAGACTTTCTTTTAGACTGGCTGTCATTCAAGAGAAAAGAGCTTAGTCTACTCGATTATTTAAATCAGAGCTAGGAAGAAGAGTGTTTGTGAGAAAGTGAACTGATTAAACTAAGATGGAATTCGATCTCGGATCGCAAACTCCACTTCACACGCTGACAACCATTACGCTAAGAGCTCATCCTGACAGTGTTCCCTCTGAAAGGTACGTAGAAAAATGACATAAATAAAATGAATAAAGAAACAAAAAGGATAGGAAAAGAATAGAAAAAGAAAAAATATAAAAGTGAAGAAAAGAAAAGATAAGAATATGAAAAGTAAAAGAAAAGCAAGGAAAACGAAAAGAAAAAAGAAAGGAAAAGAAAAGAAATGAAAAAGAAAAGAAAGGAACAGGAAAGGAAAAAGCAAGAAAAGAGAAAAGAAAAGAGAAGAAAAGGAAAAGAAAGGAAAGGGAATGAAAGAAAAGCAAGAAAAAAGAAAAGAAAAAGAAGGGAAAAGAAAAGAAAAAGAAAAGAAAGGAAAAGAAAAGCAAGAAAAAAGAAAAGAAGCGAAAGGAAATGAAATGAAAAAGAAAAGAAAGAAAAAGAAAAAGAAAGAAAAGAAAAAAGAAAGATAAAGAAAAGAAAAGGGAAAGAAAAAGAAAAGAAAGAAAAAGAAAAGGAAAGGAAAATGAAAGAAAAGAAAAAAGAGAGAAAAAGAAAAGAAAAGAAAAGGAAAAGAAAAGCAAGAAAAAGAAAAGAAAAGAAAAGAAAGGAAAAAAAGGAAAGGCAAAGAAAAGCAAGAAAAAAGAAAAGAAAAAGAAGGGAAAAGAAAAGAAAAAGAAAAGAAAGGAAAAGAAAAGGAAAGGAAAAGAAAAGCAAGAAAAAAAGAAAAGAAAAAGAAGGGAAAAGAAAAGAAAAAGAAAAGAAAGGAAAAGAAAAGGGAAGGAAAAGAAAAGCAAGAAAAAAAAAGGAAAGAAAAAAAGAAGAGAAATGAAAAGAAATGAAAAAGAAAAGAAAGAAAAAGAAAAGAAAGGAAAACGAAAGAAAACGCCTGGAGCAGTTAAAAATTAAGCAATTTTTATATCCCTTTCACTTGACACTTTTATGATTGAACGACGTTGGTCTTCGCCGATTGCAAGTCCCGTTCAATATTTGATATAGCAATGATTAAAAAAATACATCGAAATTACTAGTGATGGGATCGGACATAGGTTGGAATTCCGTTTTTTAACCTGAATTTAAGAAAAAAATGTTTAGATTTGAGCGTGACATGCAAATTCCATTTGTCAAGTCGATTGAAGTGTCGGTGCAGATAAGCAAAGAAAATGCCCATTAAACAAGTAATAATCGTGTCACGAAGATATAGTTGTACATAAGCAATCATTTGCCGATTACAATAAAAGAGAGAGAGAGAAAAAAGGCTGGATATTGAGGAAAAAAAACCTCCTTATTACAAATTACAGAGAGAAAAAAAAACTTCTACTTTGATCATCTTTCGTTATTTCCTAGCGTTGTAGATGGCGTCCCGGCATTTATCTTTCAAATCAGGCGAACGACCTATTTTATTCCAGCCAGGTGTCACGTGTTTCACGTACGGGTGACTCATCCTGTCATTTCCTTTGTTTATTTATTTGTTTGTTTCTCTTCTATTTGCTTTTTTATATATATATATATATATATATATATATATATGGCGCGATGAGTAAATTGTCGCTTTTAAAAAATTTCGCGCATGCGCGATGTTTGTTTTTCATTTTGTCGACAGCACTGTATAGTAGCGTCAGTCGGGCACCGTCTGTAAGAAAAAGAGCACCATGACGCAATCCACTCAGCCAGAAATTGTGAAACATCATGCTGTACTGCTTACTCCAATATAAACATTTCAAAGTGTTTTGGTAACAATCTGGGGACAGTGCAGAGGATTCCGAAAGAGTTGGATGAGTCTAATTGTGATTATGAAGGCATGGCAGCTCTGAAAACTCACCCTGATCGTTCTAAGAAGAAAAGAACTCCCACATTTGTTGTGAGGCCTCAGATCGACGATGTAGTGCTGCCCTGGGTCAAGAGGGTGACTGCTGGAAGACACTTTGTCTGGCAACAGGACTCTGCACCACGCCACACAAGCAGGAAACCCCGTCGTGACTGTCAGACAATTTCTGCGACCACATCACCCCTTATATCTGGCAACCTAACTGCCCAGACTGCAATTATTATGTGTGTTGTGCAGTTGAGCGAGAGACACGCAAAACTCCTTGTAACACCAAAGATGAACTGAAGGCAACGATTATGGCAGCATTCACCAACTTAAACAAGGAGACCGTTCAGAAGAGTTGCAGGAGATTCCAAAGTCGTCTGGAATTTATGGTTGAAGCCGAAGGCAAATTTATTGAATAAATTTACTCTTTAGTATTTCAAGATATTTTTGTGTAATTTTGTGCAATTTCAGTAAATATATCTGTTTAAATACGATGTCAAGTCATTTTCATTTTTTATAATTTAGACGATAATTTATCCACCGCACCATATATATATATATATATATATATATATATATATATATATATTACACCAGCGAGGACACCCAGAGTTGTTTGGGATAAAGTAACATCTAATAACCAGAAAAATGTATTTATCTTAAACAACAAGGCTTATATCTCATCACTTTGAAACCTCGGTTCCTCGTACGATCACTGAAGTTAAACAACGCCTGGTCAGTCCCTAAATGGGGGTCGCTGGAAAGTCGTTAAATTTCAAAGGGAATGTCTGTAGGAATTATAGAGTTCTGGCGGTAAACACGTTCTCTTTTTTTGCCTACTCAGGATATTTACATCGGTGAAATATGGAAGTAGCTGTATAGCAGCTAGGTTAGTTTCATTGCACCGTCGTAAATATTTCGGAGAGATATGATAAAAATCATGTGGAGACGAGCATCAGGCAGATCCAGAGAATCAATTGAATTCCTCATAACACATATGATCCTGAACAACGTCCAAAAGTAATCGGAACTGCCTAGTACATCTGAACCTGCTTAAGGTATCTTTTGTAGCAGGTTTCAGTTGACTTCATCATTCGTAGAACCAAGAAAGCCTCGAGTGCAGAGCCATTGGTAGTTTTTGGCCATTTTTTTTAAAAAGTTATTTTTTTATATTTAAAAAAGATAAAAAGTTTAATCATGAAGATTTTAGAGTTTTGGTTTAACAAACGTTTATAAATTTTCGGAACCAAACCAAAAAAGAAGAAAAATCACGTTTTTAGCTTTTGAACATCTTTCGTTTTAATAAAACGATTAACTTCTCTCGACATACGATGACCTTTCAGGTTTCGTTCCGTAACCGTTCCCCACAATTACCAATTTGCCATCACGAATTGGCGGCAATATAGATTATAAAGACCTCAAAATTAATTAGGATGTTTTGGAAAGTAATTACGTATTTCTTCGCTATGAATCAACCAACCAAAGCAGAAATAAGATTGAATGGTGGGATATTGTAAGGGCTCGGAAAGTAATTACGCTTTCCACTGGTAGGAATTACGAAACAACCAACTAAAGCAGAACCGAGGTTGAATGGTACGAAACTTAGTCTAAAATTAGTTTATCATCTCTTCTATCCGACAGTGCCTCGTTTGTAGGGCAATACGTTGGAAGAACTTGCAAAGATGGCGTTCAAGTTCCTCATGGGCTTTCGTTTAAAAACCGAACACAAGTTTTCACCATCTGTTGGAGACTTTTAGCCAGGAATGACAAACTTTCATTTTTGTATCGTATTGTTACAGGTAATCACAAATGAGTTTCCCTGCTAAGGGGGTCATATAAATCGAGTACATTCTGTCTGATGGTAGAACAGTCGGCGACTAAACCAGCTTGAGAAGGACCTTCAATCTGATGGGTGAGAGCTCGTTAAAGAATTGAATTTGATCGTTGCCGAGTACTCCATAACTCTGCGATACTTAGCAAGATTTATTATACATGGTGGTCCGAAAGTCTCGTCACCTTCTATCTCTCTTACAAACTGTAGAAGCTTGTGTCATCCATCTGAAATAGAAAGATATATTATGTGTAGGGGCGACAAGATTTTCGGACCAACCTGTATATCCATTTTCAAATCAATATTTCATATCTATCTATCTATCTATCTATCTATCTATCTATCTATCTAACTAACTTTTTTTTAATCAGTTCACCCCAAGCAAGTGGCTACTGGTAATAAAGTAAATGAAAAGACTTTAAACCTAATCCTAAACAGGGAGCGAGGAATAAACCTCTACTCCTTTTAAAAAAACTGGGAACAGACGATAGGTGAACTTACATATCTATCTATCTATAATTGGTAACAGAAGCCATTGGTTTATACCAACGGCTTCCCATACTTCATACTTCTCCAATTCACTCTCGTGTGGTCATGTGTGACGTCATGAGATGCGGTGCGATTTTCGCTTCTAGCGTCTTATATGCACGTGTTTATCGTTGCTTAGAAATCATCTATGTAAACAATGACAGACTATCATCACTGTCTTGTCCGTATATTGCTTAATATGTTGTAATTGACATCTTTAATAATGGCTTATGTAAGCCGAAAGCTTAATCTATTAAAAAAATATGGCTTATGTAATCCGAAAGCTTAATCTATTAAAAAAATATGGATCAATATTGTGAATTTCTTTCTTCGTTCAACGATAATGTTATTAAACTTATCAGACGTTATAAAAAAAAATTACATAAAATAAATAGACAACACTTGTCTATATTATTTAATGAAACGTGTATGAATGAAAAGATGTTGCCTAAATACACACAATCTATCTATCTATCTATCTGGGAAATTTTATGACAAAGTGAAAATATTTTACTTGTGACGCGTTTCGTCCTTTATGACGGACTAATTTTGTTATGTTGATAGGACTACACATACGGACAGCAGAATGGTGCTGGGAATTTTCAATTTTTTTTTTCAGGCGACTTCATTTAAAGTCTTTTTTCTTTCTTTCCATCACTTTTCTAAGTATGCATTCCCCACTGTGATATTAGAAGATCCATCAGGGATGGTAAAATGCTGTAAGAGCCAGAGCGCAAATTTACTGTAGATGACCTTACGATTAAAGCACTCTCTAGACACTTACGTCGTAGTGAATTATTTTCTCCTTTAATCATGGTAGCATTTTTTATATCAAAGTTGTGGTCAATCTCGTTACGGTGGGCAATCAATGCATTTGATGTATTAGTTTGTAAAATGTCGCTTTTGTGTTCATATAATTTTTATTCAGATTCCCCTACGTATTTTTTGCGACAAATATTACAGGCGATGGAGTAAACACCTCCTATAGGTTTTAGCTTATTGTTTTGTTTAGTATTGAGTAAGTCTTTATTGTTTTGAATGTAGTAGTAACGACTTTTATGTTGAGTTTGGATAGATTCTTTTCGATTGTAGATGTGACAGAATTAGTAGGCAGGATAATATATTTTTTTTGACTCATTCGGTTTGTCAGTGGGGGGGCATTTTTTTGTTTTGGAATATTTTGTGGTCTTTTTGTTTGAAAGTGTTTGCAATCTATTTCTCTTTTTCGTGTAAATAATCCGCGTTGCATACTCTTTGTGCGCTTAGAAAGAATCCGATGATTATGCCGGATTTTATTTTGTTGTTATGATGGGGATATAAATTTTCCCCAATACTGTCCTTGATATATAAAAATATATATCGTCATCTCATATCTATCTATCTATCTATCTATCTATCTATCTATCTATCTATCTAACCTTAAATATGGTATGAAAGTTAGCGTCTCGTAAAATGCCCTTTTATTCCAATTTCCAACTGTTTGCTTGAATCAGCTGAGATATTACGATAAAAACTCTGAGCAGACCGGATTTTATTTTGTTGTTATGATGGGGATATAAATTTTCCCCAACACTGTCCTTGATATATAAAATATATATCGTCATCTATCTATCTATCTATCTATCTATCTATCTATCTATCTATCTATCTATCTATCTATCTATCTAAGTCTGTTAAGATCTATCCGAGTCTGTTAATATATATATATATATATATATATATATATATATATATATATATATATATATATATATTATATATATATAGATCTGTTAAGATCTATCTATCCATCTATCTATCTATCTATCTATCTATCTATCTATCTATCTCTATCTATCTATCTATCTATCTGAGTCTGGTAAGATCTATCTGAGTCTGTTAAGATCTATCTATCTATCTATCTATCTATCTATCTATCTATCTATCTATCTATCTAACCTTAAGTGTGGTATGAAAGTTAGCGTCTCGTAAGATGCCTTTTTATTCAATTTCCAACTTTTTTCTTGAATCAGCTGAGATATTACGATCAAAACTCTGAGCAGACTATAAAGCAAATCCTGAAAATTAATGCAATTATGAAAAGGATTCATCTTTGATTCTTTATATTACGCACTACAGCGGAAGAAGAGGAAATTTCCGAAAAAACATGAAAAGCAAC